CCCGTGGTCGACTACAGGGGAGTCAACCACCCCAGCCGTTACGCTAACTGCTGGTCCCCCTATGATGACACTATTGATGATCACTGTACACATATATATACATATATGCAAGTTGGGTGTATATATAAAGACACACACACACACACACACAATGGGTATATATCCGCATGTACTTTACACATGTTTACCTGTGTGCATTCATGCATGCAAAAATGCAAGCACAGATATAGATGTAGATATAAATACACAGATATGAGAAAAAATGAACCCGTTACATTTTTTCATTTTTTTTAATTAACTATATATGTTAGCTTTAAGCAGAAATTACTTTTTAGATGCTAGATTTGATATATAAGCTTTCCCACTTTATCTCACCAGAATCTATTCTAGCTTGTCTTCTGGCAGCACATTCTTCAATTCGAAGTTTTGGTATTCCCTCAGCCACAGCTTTGGCCATTCCACCCATTTCTTCAATTTCATTAATAAGCTAAAAAGAAAAACGGATTAATAGAACTAAAAAAGAATGTAAAAAACTATTATAAGCTATGCAAAATTTTTATGAGTTATTAATTACTAATAACAATGCAATTAGAAAATAAATATTAATGTGTCAAAAAATAAGCAAACATTAGTACATTAACTAAAATGTGTGTGTTTAAAGTAATTTTAAAACGTAGGAAAAAACCCACAAAGTATATAATGGAAAACACAAAACTTCTCACTTAAGCATTGGGAGAAAACTCTATTCTTTATTTTTTGTAACGTAAGGTTTTTTTTTGTTGTTTTTTTTTTTTTTTAGAGAGAGATTTTTGCTATAGGACACGTGTGCTGCCAGAAAGATAGAAAGCAAGAAATCAGCCCCCAGCGGGGGGTGGCCACATTGCAATCCCTTCTCCTCCATTCTCCTCTCAGGATCTTGGGCACTCATGCACATGCGCCTGATGTGAGTTTAAGCCACAGGGTTTGGGACTGGAATTCGCGGTCGACTACATGGGAGTCCAGCCACATAGCCATTATGCCAACTGCTGGTCCCATGTAACATAAGGTTTTCATAGTTACCTACACAAAGAATTATTAAGAAAAATATTTGAAATATAATTTTAATTTTGCTTTGAACAGCAAAGAAATTACAACTCCACCTTTAATGAATATTGGTGATAATGTCTATATTAAATAGCTTAATTTAATTGTACCACATGTTCATAAATCATAATACCACTTTGTACCCCAAAAGTAAATCAAATTATAAATGATCAATTTATAATAATTAAATTTTTTAAATAAAAATAAAATTAATTGCAGCAATATAATCTAATCAAACAGCAAATACAAAGAGAAGAACAAGATATCTTAGTGAAATAAATTCTTGTAGTCTCAACACATAATTAGAAGACAGGCAGAGGAAAAAAAGCAGACAGAGAAAACAGACAATATTGGATACAGAAGAAAACATCAGAAAAATATTATTTATATCCTCAGAATACAAAAAGATCTTGCACATGAATCAAAATGGTATGACATATAGGTGGAAAATTAGAAAATATAAACAAGCTCTTAGAAATTAAAAATATAATAAGTGAATGTTAGAGTACTTAAGTAAAAAGTTAAAAATTGATGAATCTCAAAAAAAATCCTAAGTACATAAGTTGAAGTTTTTCAGATTTGAGCTCTTGTGAATTTTGAAATATTTGCATATACATAATGAAATATCTTGGAGATGGGACATAAGTATAAACATGAAATTCGTTTGTTTTCACAGATACCTTAAACACATAGCCTGAAGACAATTTTATAGAACATTTTTGCATTTTGCAGTGTTTCAACTGTGACCTGTCATATAAAGTCAGATGTAAAATTTTCCACTCATGGCATCAAGTTGGCACTAAAAAGGTAATGAATTTTGGAGAATTTTAGAATTTTGGATTAGAGATGTTCAATTTGTCTTAAAAAGAACAGAACATTAGCACATTATTCAAGAAGGTCTAAGAGCTTACAAATAGGAGTTCTAGAAAGAGAAGATATAGATAAAAAAATAATAGGAAAAAAAATAATCAGATAAACAAACAGAATTTCCCAGACCTATGAAAATATAAAATGAGGGCGAGGGGAAAAAGACTCATGAAAGGCTCTGCACAATGTAGGAAAAAAGTATACACACCAAGATTTATGCCAATAAAAAAAATAAAAAATACATTCTGATGCTTAGAAGAAAGAACCTACATATGCATGGCATCAAATTTCTCAGCTGATAGAGTAAAAATCAGAATAAAAATAGATCAATACTTACAAACTTGATTATAAATTCCTGAATGGAAATAATTTCAAACTTAGGCTATCAATCAAGTGCAAAATTAGAAAAAAGGTATTTTCAAACATGCAGAATTTCAAATCATTTATCCCCATGTATCCTTTTAGGAGGTTGCTGTGAGGTGTTCTTCAGAAAGAAACCCAAGAAAAGCATCTAGCTGACTCCAGAAGGCAGGAGAAAAACAAGTGGAACTAGTTATCTTTTTAACTCTTCAAATAAAATACTTTAATACAAATACAAATGTATTTTTATATTTCAATTTTGAAATCATATAATCAAATATAAATTTCCCTTTTTCTCTCATTTTATAAATCTTTATATAAATCTATAAATGATTTGAGTTATAAATTTTTTTAAAATCTATAAATCATGATTTGAAAATCAATATTTAAATCTCCTTCTTAAAGTTTATTTCATTCATGAGAGAGAGCCCCCCAAGAAGCATGTGTGCATGTGTACATAGTGCATGCAAGTATGAAAGAGAGAGGGAGAGAGACAGGCACTGTAGACAGGGTCTTGACATGCCATAACCCCTTTCCCCTAGCCCTCCAGCTACTCAGAATCCTAGGCATAACATGTTTCAAGTCGATTTTGTATCTGAATCCAAAGTCAGTCATGTAGCTTCCAGCTCTGCAGATGAGTATACTATACCTGAACTACCGAGGCTGGGCAAAACTGTCAGTCTTCAAAGCAGGTTAAATAGAGGGGGACCAGGATCAGTAGTTGGCATAATGGCAATGTCGCTGGACTCCCATGTGGTCTACTGCAGTTTGAGTCCCAGACCCAGTGGCTTAAACTCACGCTGGTGTGTGTGCATGCGTGCCTAAGACCCCAAGAAGAGAATGGAGGAGAAAGGATTGTGGAATGGCCACCCCATGAGGGTTATTTCTCACTTTCTGGCTCTTTGACTCTCTCTTTCTTTCTGGTGAGCGTACACACCCTATGGCAAAAACCTCTCCAAAAAAAAAAAAAGAAGGAGGAGGGGACCAGAAAATGGTGTAGTGATTACATCATACATCACTGGACTCCCACATGGCTGACCATTTTGAGTCCTGGACCTGGTAGATTGAATATCACACTGGGTGCATGTGCATGCATGCTCACGATTCTGAGAGGAGAATGGAGGAGAAGGGATTGTGGCATGGCCATCCTCCCTGGTAGGTGATTTCTCACTTTCTCTCTCTGGTGAGTACATGTGCCCCAAGGCAAAAAAGCCTCTGGAAAAAAAAGAAAGAAAAAGAGGAGAAACTGACCTTCAAGGCAGCGTCATAAACATCATTTGTGAGAGATTCCATCATATATGAGCCACCCCAAGGATCAGCCACTTTGGGAATCCCTGATTCTTCCTGAATGATGATTTGTGTGTTCCTGGCAATTCGAGCACTTTTCACAGTTGGCAAACCCAAAGCTTCATCAAAAGAATTTGTATGCAGAGACTGAGTCCCTCCAAACACTGCTGCCATTGCTTCTACTGCAGTACGAATAATATTGTTGTAAGGATCCTGAAACATTTGGTAAAAAACAAAAGCAAAGAACTGAGAGATATTTCAGTTATAAAAAACAATATGATTAAACAATAATGGTTGCATACATTCTATGCCAATGTCCACATTAGGTTTGGAATATCAAATAAACTTAGACAAATTAGTGAACAAGCTAGAAGTGTGTAGTCTGTGCTAAGGCACTAAAATATTATCTTGTAATCCTGTGATATATGAAATATTTCTTGTGTCTATTGTTATTGGGTCTTCAAGAAAGTCATGACACATTTTTGCATAAAAAAATACAGAAAAATGCATCATGACTTTCCTGACAACCTAATATGTTGCCTAAACACTGTTCCATAAGTATATCATGAATGTATACCTTTTCTACTTAGACTATATAATCCTTCTTCTTATATGTCACTACTCCCTAATGATTTAATATACCTCAAAGTATCAACTACAGTACCATATACTCAATAAGTAGTTAATAAAGCAGATGAACAATGTACAGAGAGGTAAGAAATTTGGGATATAGTTTACTGTACCCCTGACTTTGAAGTGGGCAAGTCACTGGGCCTTTCAAAACTTTAGTTTCAGGAACCAGCAGTTAGTGTAATGGCTATGTCGCTGGACTCCCACATAGTCGACCGCGGTTCGCATCCCAGACCTGGTGGCTTAAAACTCACGCCGGGTGCGTATACGTGCATGCCCAAGATCCTGAGAGGAGAATGAAGGAGAAGGAATTGCAGCGTGACCATCCATCCCCCGGGGGGAGGGGGGTGATTTCTCGCTTTCTGTCTCTATGTCTCTCTCTGTCTGGCGAGCGCACGTGCCCTATAGCAAAAAAAAACTCTCAAAAAACAAAACAAAACAAAAACTTTAGTTTCCTTATCTATAAAAATAAGGAGTTTAAGAAGAAAACTACTATTAAAGTTCCAGCCTCCCCCCCAAAAAAACTCTATTTCTCCATTTATAAGGACTTGAAGCTCTATTTTATATGGAATATATTAGCTGTTATTCACTTTTAAATCTATAAAAGCAATATAAATTTTAATTTAGAAATTTTTTTTAATATTTCAAAATAACTTAAGATGGAAAGTGAGCATGTATAAAAATAAGACCACCAATTTTTAATGGAATGAAATGGTTGGTTTTAGTATTCATAGTATTCTTTAAATGGTTCTTTAAATGAACACTTTAATAAAGAAGCATGTGTGTGTGTGTTTATGTGCACATGCATAGAAATCTACTTAATTAGGCACTTTAGGTTAAGAATTCTAACTTTTAAAATTATATAGGATAGTATTAATTAAAATGTGGCTTTTACTCCTTCCTGCACATCAAATTTTTTTTACTTTTAAAAAAGTATAGCAGTGCTATATGTAAGCTGATTTAAATGTTTTTCTATTGTTAACCACTAGAGGGAGTAAATTTTACTTATTTACCACAATATAATGTATAAATACAAACCTAAATGTGCATTAAGTTTCAGAATATTGATTATTTTCAAATATTAGCAGATACGTTCTTACATATATAAGCTGAACATGCCATGTTGTTTGGAAGAAAATATATCACTTAATTAAATCTCTATATTTCGAATTATATACAAACCTGTTCAGTAAGTGACCATCCTGATGTCTGACAATGTGCTCTCAGAAGAAGAGATTTAGAGTTTTTAGGCTGAAACATTTGCTCTACTAAGTGAGCCCAGAGTCTTCTTCCAGCTCTCATCTTTGCTATTTCCATATAAAAGTTCATCCCAATTCCCCAGAAGAAAGACAATCTAAAATAATAATGATAACAGTAATGTTTAACTTGATTAAATTTAACAATATAAAACAGAAAATAAAACTAGTTATATCACATACTAGATTATCAATATCTAGGGCCGGCCCATGGCATGGTAGTTAAGATGGCTGAATCCCATGCAGCTAATCACATGGCTCAAGTATCCAATCAGAGGCTTGAAGTACATGCCAGGAGCATGTGTGTGTGCGCCCAAATTCCAAAATAAAGAAGAAATGGAAGAGAAGGCATTGCAGTGTGACCTTGCCCCATGTGGGATGCTTCTCGTTTTCTCTCTCTCATTATCTCTCTCAGGCTAATGTATGTGCCCTAAGGAAATTAAAAGAAAAATGCACTAGGCGCATGTGTGTATGTGCCCAAAATTCCAAAAGGAGGGAAAGATGGAGGAAGAAGTACTACAGTGGGACCATGCCCCATGTGGGGGTGCTTACTCTCTCACTGGTTCGCTCTCTCTCTCTGGCACGTGAACACAACCTCTAGCAAATATTAAAAAATAAAAAATCCAGATTTTAATTTTAATTTCAAGCAACTTAATTTTCTAAAATTAATGCACATAGGCTGGGACCAGCAGATGGAGTGATAATGGTTATCTCACTGGACTCCCACATAGTCAACCGTAGTTCAAGCCCCAAACTGGGTGGCTTAAAACTCACACTGGGCACATGTGCATGCAAGCCGAAAATCCCAAGCGAAGAATGGAAGAGAAGGGATTGCAGTGTGGCCATTATCCCTTGGAGGTGATTTCTCACTTTCTGTCTCTCTGCCTCTCTCTCTCTCTCTCTCTCTCTCTCTCTGGTGAGCACACGTACCCTACTGCAAAAAAACTCTCTTAAAACAAACAAAAAACTATTGCACATAGATTTAAGTAATATTAGATCTAAAAATAAAAATATAATTTATGCCTTCAGAAGAAATAGCTGTGATTATTTGTCCCAGGTATGAATTTTTGACTGTGCAATTCATTTTCTTTTTTTTTCTTTTTTTTTTATTTTTATTAATTCACTTTACACCATCACAACACACAAATGAATTTTCCATCCAAAATACACTGTGCATTGGTTCAATCAAGCACATCCACATACATGTTCTCAGCAAATAATTTTCCAATTCTTACGTCCTGCATACCTTGCCCTTTGTCTTGCCATCCCTGATTCCCCATCCCCCACCCTCTGCTATGTCCCATCTTCCTCCTCCATTGTCCCTGGCATCCATGGTTGCCCTCCATGCCTTCCGCTCCCCCCATTCAATTGTTCTGCCAATGAACTTA